TTTCTATTTGCGCGTACCTGGTTTCCGCGTCTGATAGTCTCCTGGAGCAGTACGCCACCGGTTTCCAGCTCTCTCCGTGCAGCTGGAGCAGGACTCCTCCCATCCCGTAGCTACTCGCATCCGCTGACACTGTGGTCGGTCTCTGTGGGTCGTAGTGGGCCAGTACAGGCGATGTGATGAGGGCTTCTTTCAAGCGCTGAAACGCTCGCTGCTGTGGCTGATCCCATGTCCAGGCCATCTTCCCCTTTAGGAGATCGTACAGTGGACCTGCGACGGTTGCCATGTCTGGAATGTATTTGCTCATGTAATTAATCATGCCTAATGCACGTTTCAGTTCATGTACATTGGTGGGCGCATCTAACTCCCTGATGGCGCTCACCTTCTCTGGGTCTGCCTGAACCCCGTTGGCGTCCACGATGTGGCCCAGGAAGCGTAACTGTGGTTGTGCGTAGACACACTTTTCTTCATTCAGCTTAAGGCCTACTTGCTTCATCCTTTCAAGTGTGCTTTGCAAGTGTCTGTCATGTGTGGCCTTGTCTTTTCCATGCACAATCACGTCATCCATGTACCCGGTGACTCCTTCCAGGCCCTCGAGCAGCTCGTGCATCTTGCGCTGGAATATCTCCGGGGCTATGTTTATCCCAAACGGAAGGCGGGTAAAGCAGTACCTCCCGAAAGGTGTGATGAATGTGGTTAAGATTCTGCTTTCTTCATGCAGCGGTATCTGCCAAAAGCCTGAGGCAGCGTCGAGGGATGTGAACACGGTTGAGCCCGCCAGCTTGGCCAGCGTCTCATCTGTGGTAGGTAGCTGGTAAGTTTCTCTCTTCAGATTTTCATTCAGCTTCTGGAGCCCTACGCAGATTCGGACGGCACCTGACGGCTTCAGGACTGGCACCATTGGTGCGCACCATTCTGTGGGTTGTGTCACTTTGACGATCACGCCGTGTTCCTCCATGCGTTGTAGCTCAGCTTGGACTTTGGGTAGGAGTGGCAGTGGGACTCTCCTGGCTGTGTGTACAGCGTGTGGCACAGCGTCATCACGAAGGTGGATCTTCACCGGCTCCGTCTTCATCGTGCCCATGTGGACGGCTGCTGTCTTCACCTGCTGTACTCGCTTCACCAGCCCCATCTCTACTGCTGTGTCCCTGCCCAGTAAGTTATTAACTGTAGGCCCTCTAGCTACATAAATATTGAAAATATGTTTTCTCTGTTTGTGTAATGTGCTAGCTGTAAATTGTCCCATAATGTCCAATGTTCCTCCTGGACTCTCTAATGGGCCATGGTGTGGCTCCAGCTTTCTTTCTGGTTTAAGTGCCTTGAATGTTTCCATGTTCATTACAGTGACGTCAGCGCCTGTATCTATTCTAAATCGCACTGGTGTGTACCCTATGTGGATCTGCTCTGTCCATTGCTCTGCACTGCTTTGTTTTTGTTTACTCACTGCACCTAAGTAGAAACTTTCATCCTCTTCGTTCCCTTGGTTTACTTCCCTCACAGTCTTTGTGAAGCATTTTCTTTCCCAATGCCCCTTCTTCCCGCACTTCCTGCATTCAGAAAGAAAATGCTTCACAAAGACTGT